TATTATGTTGTGTTTCTACACGTTTGTAAAACTCCTTAAATTTCTGAAAAGTTTCATCCTTGTGTTTTAATGTATAAACAAACCCATAACGACTATAGTCATCCACAATGGTTAGGAAATAACGTTTTCTATATGTGATTGATGGCGTTAATGGACCAACTAGATCCATGTGTACCAAATCAAAAATTTTGTTGGTTGATCTTGTTGACTTTCTGGGTTTGGGACTAGTTTTGAGTTTTGTAGATTTACATACTGAGCATTCCAAATAGTTTTCACAATTTTTTATTTTAACACCTTCAGCATGTTCAGTCATCTTTTGTACTACAGGAAAACTGGCATGTCCTAATTTCCTATGTAAGACATGAGCACACTCATCATGAATTGGTTTACCTATTTTAGGCTTTTTTTTATTGGGTGTGTCTTTGTGATTATGAATTACCTCACGTTCCTCATTGTCACTACTACTATTGCCTCCACTATCTATGTCATTGTTATCTTCCATATTGGAATCAATGTTGTGTAACCATCTCTCCTTTGTCATTAAATAAGGTAGACCTCCTTTGATAATCACAGTACCTATACTTATTCTGTTTTTCTCTAATGTTGCTCTTCCTTTTGAGAACACAATATTTATGTCAGAATCTCTGCTTAGTTTTATTGCACTAAGTATGTTATGAGGTATTTCAGGTATTAACAATACCCCCTCTATTTTTCCTAGGCCAGGTAAGGTTATATTCCCTCTACCTATGACTTGAACCTTTTCTTGATTAGCTACTTTAATTATAAATTTATCTTCTACAAATGAAGATATGTTTTTATTATTTGTAGTGTGATTAGTTGCTCCAGAATCAATAAGCCAATCGTTGTTCTCTGGTTGTTGTATGTTAATATTGTCATGTTTGTTTAACCCATTAAGTGAACCAGACCTTCTATCCTTTGAATTATCTCTGCCCCCTCTATGTTCCCTATAGTTGGGTGGACTTCTATATCTATGTCTATCAATGGATGACTGTCTGTTGTGATATCTATTTCTATATTCTGATCTTTGTCTTTCTCTTAGGAGTTTAGGACAATCCCTCCTATTATGTTCCTTGGATCCACAGTTGTGGCATCCAATTGGTTCATGATATCTTTCTTGAAATGCTACCTTCTTATATTGTTTATGTTCCATGTGATTGTTACAACGACTCCTCCTAGAATTGTCTTCAGCTATTAGCTTATTAGATAGATTTTCTATGGATAAATATCCTAAATTGATTGTGTCTAAATGTGATATATAATTATCCCACGATGGGTCTAGTGAGTTAATGATAACACTTTTCATTGTTTGATCTGAAATTATCTCCCCCCTTAAATGCAGTTCTGCTCTAATTTTGTTTAAAGATATTAAATGTTCACTTATGGTAACCCCTGGCTTTATCCTAGATGAGAAGAAATCTTTAGACATCCTTGTAGTGGTAGCTACACTTTCACTGTGAAACAATTTAAACATGCATTGAATAATTTCTGAGACAGTCAGATTTTGCTTAATACTGTGATACATGGCAGGAGATATACTGGAAATTAATAAAAAAAATGCTCTATGGTGTAGGCAGTCCAATTTTAGAGTCCAAGGTCTTTTTGGTGGGTTAGTAATAAAAAACAGTAAGTTTTCTTTTAGAAAGACAACCTGGAGCTGCTGACACCATTCTTGCAAATTAATACCATCTATTCTCAGTTTTGGGAAGTCATTGGGCAAATTCCCAATATTGTTGGATCCATTACTTACAACTGGAGGTAGTCTGTGATCTTGTAAATGTTGAAAGTTGCAAAACGGCGTGGGGATGCTTGCAACGAGTCTGAATGGTTCTCTCCGTTCCTCATGTCTTCCGAAGCTGTCTGCGTAGTCTTGCACATGTGCGTTGTTCATTTTGTTCCTGAAGCCGTCGTGAGAGGTTCTCGCTGCTGCAGCTCCCTCGCATTGTTCTTCTTCCGAGGAATCGGTCTCCGGCTCGATCTTGGGAGTCCTGGTGATAGCGGGCGCTCGCTTTCTTTCGTTGGGGACGCTGGTCCTTGGGATCGTCTGAGGCGTGGGGTGGTATCTGCAGGGCTCTCTGGGTTCAGGCGTCGTTGCTCTCGTCGTTTGGATAGAAGCGGGTAGATTTTGAGGCGTTCGCTTGCTTGCTTGTCTTTTCGTTGATTCTTTAGTGATTTTCAATTTTGGTCCAAATGCTGCAAAGAGCGTTTTCATTGCTGACTTTACTCGCATATCTATTGAAGCTTCTTCGATCTCTGTGTCTGATTCTTCTGAGGTGTAAATTTTCTCTCTTTCATTTCTTGCATCGAGTAAGGCTTTTCGCGCCAGATATTTTGAATCCCGCTTTCTGATTGGCTCTGCTTCGCTCATCTTAGGGGTCTGTTGAAACCAAGATGGCTGCCATTCGAAATTTTGCGCGGGACTGTTAGTTTTCTTCTTTGCTGTATTTTTGTCTGCTGGCAGATCGCTCACCGTTTTTGAATCTTTAAATTTATCCGGAACGATGTGCTTCTCTCTCGCTGCTCCGTTGTTTTTTAATATGTCTTGGAGGTTCGCGATGAGGTTTTCATCGTTCTTTTGGCTTTTTAAGAGTTTTAGTATCTCTGACCTGAGTTCGTTCTTTTCTATTTCGTTTTCTTCTTGGTCATCAGTTTCATCTATTATTTCTTCGTCGTCTGTAGTGCATTCTTCAGATTCTCTCGATATTGCATTCGTGGACTCATCGATTATTTCTTGATCTGCTTCCATTTCTTTGCTGTATGCCCTGGTGTTGGGCCTATCTCTTTTGTTTCTGGAGTTTTCTCTCTCAGACATGTTTAAGATATTATTGAGTCAATTCAACCATCCTCTGCTACCAGATTGTTACGATATTTTCAGGATCAGACTCAATAAATAAGTTGAGAATTAGAAGTTCAAATAAAACACTGTTTATTTACAGAAGGCATTCTATATTCACTGAATAATCACAGATAGAAGCACAGAAGGAATGCATACAGCTCCTTATATATACAATGGGTGGAGCTAGATATGGGAGTGGTGAAATATGAATACATTAAGTAGTGAAGAATAAGTTAACCCCTGATACCCTGATCATGTACTATTTACATAACGAAGGATAAGGCATTTACTTGTGACAAACTTTGTATTGAATAAACATATTTCCTTTGACCTTTACTGATCAACAGTGAATTTTACCAAATTCTCGATTTAGGAAATGACTCAAAGAGAAAAGGTGCCTGATTCTTCTGACAAAATTTAAAAAATAATTTCAGATTTAAACAATGCATAACAACATATCCACAACTGTGTATTAAAGTACAAAAACCTCACCAAAGCAAGCAATTGGTTTTGAAGTGTGCTAAAGTATCTGTAAGAAAAAAGTGTGTTTAGAATTCATTGCAGAGAAGCTGAAGTAATCCTTTGCTTTCATTGTCACTGGAGACAAACTACAACAGACCTTGACTCTGAGCTCCCATTCTTAGGAAGGGAATAAGATTAACTAGGCCATATAGATATGAGAAGACAAGAAGTACTAGGCCTTATTGGCTAACTGAACTGATAGCATTTGCCCAAGGTTTATTAAAGAGCTTATAACTGAGGTGTAAGATGTCCTAACCCAAAGGTGTCAAACTTGATTTTATTGAAGACCGCATGAGAGTTGTGTTTGACCTTGGGGACCTCAATGGAAGGCAGGTTGGTAGTAATTGTTTCTTCTGCAGTTCTTCCTGCATTACATCTATTAGGCTTCACATTTGGGCTCAGCAGGAAAGGTTTCTAAATAATTCAACTCCCAGTTCATTGTCTCAATCTGAGTTGACAGAACACTCAGTAACATCACCTGGCTATCTTCAAATTTTGATTGCAGATAAAAATGAAGCTTCACAAAAAAAAAAATGCTATTCAGTGCAATCAGAAAGTATTGCAAACTTTATATTTGTGGAGGGGAGCCAAAGTAGCAAAAGTGCTTCCTTTTCCATTTGTTTTTATCAGTAAGATGGCTAGAATATATTTTTGATACATAGACTATTACCTCCAATCAACCAATCAATCAGATTAGCTTTAAAATGAAAATAATGCCTCTTTTATTCTATCCCATAACACTAGAAAAAACCTAGAAATCCAAGTGATCCCTAAGGGGGAGCAAAACCAATCCACATATTTGACCTCATCTAGAATATTTTCTGAAGCTTCCTGAAGATATAGATAAAGTGGACACAAGGAGTTATGTTGTTTCTATGCACATGCCTGAAGAATTTAGTTCTCTAAAAGGGCTATTTATGATAATCCACAATGCATCACCACTATTTAGTGGCCAATTTCTATCATAAGCCATTCATTCATATACTGGGATTTTGCTTCATAGGAGAACATCTAAGAAAATCCCACTATATCAGAGTGATCCAAGCAAAGAGAAATTACACCTCAGAAAACAATGTGGTGACAGAAATAACAGATCAAGCAGAAAATGGAAAAAAGGCCCCACTTCCTTCTCAGTTGATTGAGCAGAAATGGGAAATTATCTAGAATTGTGTGAAAATATCAGCTGAATAATTACTCAAGGAGATATGTCCCTGTTGTTCTTTGGATCCAGAACATTAATGGACTAAATTATTCCATTTTCTGGATTCCTTATCTGAAATCTTGTTAACGAACAAGAGGATTTCATAATCCAAAAGGTGTTTCAAGTATTGGATTGCTGGGCAGTTCAAAGAAGTTTGAATCTGTTTTGCAATGCCTTCATTTAAGGATAAGCACCACCCACACCATAAGAGAGCGAATGGTAAACAATCAATTATAAATCAAATTCCTAGGGAGGAGATAGAAAACCAAGGCAAGGTTGGAAGTGATTTAGCATAAGGGGCAGTCTGATGATTCAGTAGAAACACTAGCTGAGTTTCTGCTTAGTGCAATAGTTTGAATGTTTGTATTATTTCAGTTTGCAGATTTCATTATAATTGTTACTGAAAACTGCTTCTGAAAGGAAATGGCTTGGATTGGACTTGTTTTATTATTATTACTATTCATTCTTACAGTTTTATTCCTTTTCAAAATGAGTAGTTCCCAGAGTAACAGCTCCCAAAAGCTTCCACCTGGACCCAGGACAATACCCATTTTGGGAAATCTGCACATAATGGATTTCAAGAGGCCTTTTAAGACAATGATAAAGGTAAACCTGATGATTAACAACTATGAATGTTCTTTGCCAAAGTGTACTGATGTTGATATAAAAGTTTAGCAATTTATCAGGTTATCCAGTTAACTGGAAGAGATTGATATGCTCCCTGTTGGTTTTATGGAGTCTATGGAAATGTATAAAAATGACATTAACTTGGTGTTTGCATTTGTTTATATATGCTGCAAGGATTATACAAACAAAAATATTTGTTTATAGGATTTTTTTAATTGTTTATCTGAAACCTGAAAGGGTGATTGAAATTGCCTATGACTATGTAGAGGAAGGAAAATATAAAAATCTTACATTGATATCTGTATTAATATAATAATCTGTAGGTTAATATATTTTAATAAGATATAGTCTTAGTGAAATGCCCATTGTCCAAAAACTTAAGCTGTTATTTCCTGCTCCAGAGAATTTTTCCAAAACAGCTGAGTGAAAAACATAATTTTGAATCTTATTCACAGGATTTTAATTCCAGCTTAAATATGACAAGGTTCAAATAATTAAAGGTTTGGAAATATCTTCCCTCCCCCCCCCCCCCGCCAAGAATTTGCAGCTTGCTTTAAAATTTTGAAGATTTTACAAAGGTGCATGAAATATGTGGGGAAAAAAATAACTGTCAGTATTTTTAAAATAATTACATGGGTTTTTGCACTAGATTTCTTTAAATTCTGATATATTATATTTAAAATAAATTCAAAGCTGTTGCAGTTATATAGAAGGAGATGAGATTGTTGCTTTTATGCATATTAATCTATCACATGTCAGATAGATTACATGGTAAAATGAGAGAATAAGTGATAAATGGTGTCATTACAGACTGCATTAAAAAAAATCCTTCGTCCATTGATAATATCAGTTCATTGCTGAACATGTGAGGTAGTTTAAAGTTCCCATTTCTACAGCATAAATGGAGACATTTGTAAAAAGGATTATTGGGAAGGAATGAGTGGTAGACATAATGTTTCAAGACAGAAGCAAATATATTGATAAAGTACTCCACGTCATTTTTAAGTGAATCCCTGTTTTTGTTGTAAGTAGCTAATTCTTCCAAACCATTTGGATTGGAAGACCCCTATCAGCTCTGTCTTGTCCTTTAGAATTAAAGAGATATGCTAGCAACCTTCATTAACAATGAAAGACAGTAGAGAGGGTTCTGCAGCAGCTGAGGAAAATAACATACCACATCAAGTCCAACATAAATGAATAATAACGTAATGAAAATGTGGTACTTGAAGAACAACTCTGTAGCTTGGAAGTCAGACTTTCCCTGCTTTAGGAGGCGATGGTGTCAGTCTCTTCCTGTCACTTTAGGAAAGATTACAAAGCACCAGAAGTTTCCTGATTTAGACAAGGATGGATCTGGGAATAACTGCTGGCATTTTATTTTATAGGCATTTCTTAAAACTGTTTCATTTTCTTGAGGTGTTAGCGCTTATGCACAGCTGAGCAGTCAATGTGCCATGTTGTATGCAGTGGATCAAGAATGATGTTGCATGGAAGGATAGAAATTAATATATCAGAAATTGTTATTATTGAAAATGTTCTTCCTGCATAGCTAACTTCTTTAAAATTTCCAAAACGTGACCAAATTCTGTCATGAGTATCCAATGGACAATACTATTTGTATGCTTGTTTTTTTTAAAAAAAAAAACAGTATAATAACTTAAAACACAAAAGAAAGGAAGAAATACTTCAATCTCGGATTTGTGAGACATGACTTGTAACAGAATTTTCCTTATGTGAGACTAATTGTGGATCAGAACTGCCTCTCATTTTTCATCTGCTGAATTCCAGTTGTCAAAAGAATATGGTTCCGTTTTCCGTCTTCAAATGGGATGCCTGGAAATGGTGGTGCTGACTGGCTATGAGACGGTCAAAGAGGCTTTGGTGAACCAGGCAGAGGCATTTGCAGAGAGAGCTATTGTCCCCATTTCTGAGGACTATGCAAAGGGTTTTGGTAAGTTGTTTATTCTAGATTGCAGGTGACGCTCCTTGCAAAGTTCTAATCAATATTATGTACAGCTCACTTGGAAATACAATGAAAATATGATGGTAATAAATGGTAGTAAAAAGTATTTTTTGTTTTAAAAGTTTTTTATTTTGAAAACATTAAAAACAAGACACAAACACACATTTATATATATATATATATCACTTTTCCCTACAGCTACTTCGAAGTGATCCTTTCTTACTATTTACATCTATTCAGACACATTTTAACTTTATCTTATTCAACAATTTATTTTCCATCATTCTTTCTTTCATCTAAATTGTACTTTGATCTACAACAATTTTTCTCCCCTCTCTCCTTTATTCCTCTTTCTCATTTTTCCTATTCTCCAATTATTCATACCACCTACATCACACTTTGTAATATTCTGTATCCTCTTTCTCCTTGATTTATTTTGTTAATTTATCCATCTCTACACACTCTAAGATTTTCCTAATTAAATCTTTTTCTGATGTTAAGTTTTCCTTCTTTCAATTTTGCAGGCTGCTGTCAGTATATGTAATATTAAATAATATATTTCCTTAGTATCGTTTTCTATGGAAATCCCTAGTAGAAACTGCTCAGGTTCTCCCTTTATTGAATTCTGAATTATTTCCTCTATCCACTTTTTAACTTTCGCCCAGAATTTCTTCGCCACTGGGCAGGTCCACCAGAGATGATAATAAGTTCCATAGTTATTCTTACATTTCCAACATTTCGATGAATTACTAGGGAACATTTTCGCTATTCTAGCTGGTGGAAAGTGCCATCTATGAAACATTTTCATCTGGTTTTCCTTGTATGCCTTAATATTGTCAATTTCATATTTGTTCTCCACATTTTTCCCACTTCTCTAATTCTATTACATGATTGAAATTCCTTGCCCATTTAAACATAGTATCTTTCACTATTTTCTCTTCCATTTTATACTGTAATAAAAATTTATAAATTTTACTAATTAATTTTTGTTCCCTCCCATATTTATTTATTTTATTTATTATTCCAATTTATATACCGCCCTTCTCCTGAAGGACTCAGGGCAGTGTACAGCCAAAAGTAAAAGCACACAAATATAAAATTTAAAAACGATTTAAGAGCATATTAAATAATTTGGCCCAAATAAAACACCCGTTTTAAAATTTTAAAAAATTAAAAAAGTTAAAAAATTAGGCCAGCCTGGCTTGTTGGAATAAAAATGTTTTGAGGGCACGGCGAAAGGTGTGCAAGTTGGGAATCCTCCGTATTTATTTATTTATATATTTATATTTGAATTTATATACCGCCATTCCCCCCCTAGGGACGGGGGGCAGTTCATTCCAGAGGGCAGGTGCCCCCACAGAGAAGGCTCTCCCCCTGGGGGTCACCAGTCGACATTGTTTGACCAACGGCACCTGGAGAAGCCCTTCTCTGTGGGAGCGTACTGGCTGGTGGGAGGCTATTGGTAGCAGCAGGCGGTCTTGTAAGTACCCAGGTCCTAAGCCATGGAGCGCTCTGAAGATGGTAACCAACACCTTGAATCGCACTCGGAAGACCACCAGAAGCCAGTGCACGCAGGAGAGGTGTTACATGGGAGCACCATGTCGCTCCCACAATCACCCGCGTGGCCGCATTCTGGACCAGTTGGAGCCTCCGGGTGCTCTTCAAGGGGAGCCCCATGTAGAGAGCATTACAGTAGTCCAGGAGGGAAGTGACAAGGGCATGAGTGACCGTGTGCAAGGAGTACAGCTGAGTACCATCAACGTACTGATGGAACTTCATGTTGTGGCCCCGCCCTCTGAGCCTGTCCCATCGGAGGAAGAAAGCTCCGAGCATGAGGAAGAGGAGTCAGCCAGGCCTCCCTCTCCAGGCCCCTCCCCTCTGGCATTGTCTCAAGTGCCGGCCGAGGGAGAAGAGACAGCTGATTCGAATCAAAGTGATAATGAAACATCATTCCTGGACGCACGCCTCCGAAGGCGTGATAAACGTTTGCAGCAGCTTGGGAGGCGTGCTAGGGATTAGAACTGAGTCACTGGACCACACCCCAGAGACTATATAATAGAGGGTAGTGGTCAAGGATCTTTTGTGACGAACAAAGTAAACCTTGGACAGTCACTAAAGCCTCGTCCGGAACTGCTGGGAGGAATATTATTTCTGTTTGGACTTTCTTGAACGTTCGTATCTTATCTGTCTGTTTGTGAAAATAAAGTCCCTTGGCAGACGGTGTGTCTATCGCTGCCAAGAGGGAGATAAGAACTGGGTGCGTTCCAAAGTGTTTCCTTAACCCTCGGCTGGCTGTGTTGTGTGTGTGTGGGGACGGGGACAGATCACTTCACCCCGAAACCACGGATGATGTCACCCAGCGGCTTCACATAAATGTTGAACAGAAGGGACGAGTGGACCGACCCTTGCGGCACCCCACACACAAGGCGCTTCGGGGTTGACCTCTGCCCCCTGCCAACACTGACTGTGACCGGTCAGAGAGGAAGGAGGAGAACAACAGCAACACAGTGCCCCCTACCCCCAACCCCTCCAACCGGCGCAGCATGATACCATGGTCGATGGTATCAAAAGCCGCTGAGAGATCTAATGGGACCAGGATAGAGGAACAGCCCCTATCCTGAGCCCTCCAGAGATCATCAACCAATGCGACCAATGCTGTTTCGGTGCTGTACCCAGGCCTGAAACCTGACTGGAACGGATCTAGATATATAATTTTATCCAGTTCATTTTGCTCCAATTGTACCTGATCTATTTTTGTATCTTCTAAGTATTTTGATCTTATTTGTAAGTACGTCCACCATTCAACTTCCCTATTCAAATCCTGTTCCAATTCTTGTTTTGTTTTTAATTTTCCCGAATCATTTAATATATCCCTGTATCTAATTATTTCAGTCCAGTTTACTAAATTTGGGTGCGTTAATGTTTCATTGGGAGAGATCCAAAACGGAATTCTTATATAGTGTTGCTTTTTGATTTTATGCCAAATTAATAATAGTGAATTTCTAATTATATGCCTTCTAAAATATCCATGGGTTTTATACTTTTCACCCCATAGAAATGCATGCCATCCTGTTTGTAAATCGTGTCCTTCTATTGTTAAAAAATTCTTTTATTTCCCAGCTCCATCCATTCCTTTAACCATGTTAGGCATGCTGCTTGGTAATAAGTCTCCCAATCCAGAAATGCTACTCCTCCTCTGTCCCTGGTATCTTGTAGTGTTTTTAATCTAATTCTAGATTTTCTCTCTTGCCATATAAATTTTGAGGTCAATCTGTTTAATAAATCAAAAAAACTTTTTTCTAATTTTATCGATATAACCTGGAAGAGGAATAAAATTTTGGGCAGGATATTCATTTTTATTGCCGCCACTCTTCCCATCCATGAAATTTGAAGATTTTTCCAATTTTCCAAATCTTATTAATTTGTCATAATTTTCCTTTTTGATTGAGGAACCTCTTGCTGTTAGCCAAATACCAAAATATTTTATTTTATTTTTTTTGTTATCTGAATATTCATACTATTTTCTAATTCTATCTCTTGTTTCTTTGTAAGATTTTCGGTTAACATTTTGGATTTATTTCTATTAATTTTTAAACCTGACACTACATCAAATTCTTCTACTTTTTCAATCAATTTAGGGCCTGATTTTAGGGGTTCCTCAATTATAAAGACCATATCGTCTGCAAAAGCTTGCAATTTGTACTCCTCATTTTTTATTGTCAATCCTTTTATCTCTCGATCTTCCCTAATTTTTTTTAAGAGTGGTTCCAATGATAATATAAAGAGAAGTGGGGAAAGTGGACATCCTTGTCTCACTCCTTTTGTTATCTCAAATCCGTCTGTCACATCTTGATTCATAATTACTCTTGCAGTTTGTTTTGAATATATTTTTTCAATCATTTTTTCAAATTTTGAGCCAAATTCCATTTTTTTTATTTGTTGTATCATAAATCTCCAATTCAAATTATCAAAAACATTTTGGGCATCAAGGAAAACCAGTGAAACTTGTTTCTCTGGGTGTGCTTCATAAAATTCTAATATATCAATTATAGTGCGTGTGTTATTCCTAATTTGTCGTCCTGGCAAGAAACCATTTTGATCCTAATGAATATGTTTATTTAGAATCATTTTTAACCTTTCAGCAATTATTGACATATAAGTTTTATAATCAGAATTCAATAAAGAGATAGGCCTGTAATTTTGTACTAATTGCTGGTCTGAGTCCTCCTTATGTCAGCGTTCCAAATTAGGCTCTCTTCCAGCGCTGACATGAACGAAATGAAGCAGAGAGCAGAAGCGTTGATTTATTGCTGAGATGAACTTTTACCTAGTTTTCTGCATGCAACAGATAGTGTTACCTGGGTGACGGATGGTGGGGGGCACATTCCTGTGAAAAGAACGTGCCGGGATGTAGAGATGGATCTGCATGATGGCCAATGGGACATTGGGGTTGGAGAGCGGAAGAGGAGGGGGTTGGAAGGAGGGGCCAGTTTGGCTGCAACCAGAGTTCAGGAATGTCGGATTTTTTCTATTCTTAAATAAAAGTGATTCATTAGAGACTTTGCGTTTGAGAATGAAGCTTATTTAAGATAGCACCGAAGCCTGACACCTTATATATAAGTGTGATTAGTGCTTCTGTCCATGTTTTGGGTATATTTTTCTCCTGTAGTGCTTCATTGAATATTTCTAACATAAAACCTCCTATCTGCTTTTGTATGCACCTGTACAGCTCAATGGGTATTCCATCTGGCCCTGGTGTCTTATTATTTTTTTCCCTGTTTATTGCAATTCCGAATTCTGTTTCAGAGATTGGTCTATTCAATACTTCTTTCTGTTCCTCCGTAAGTTTACATACATTTGTTTTCTCTAGATATTCTTTAATTTCAGCTTCTATCATTTCTTCCAGCGTATATAATTTGGAAAAGAAAGTATATATTATTCGTTTCTTGTTTTCTCTTTTATATCGGATTTTCCCCTCCTCATCTTTCAAATGTTGTATCGTTCTTTTATCATTTTCCTTTTTTAACTTATAAGCTAACCACCTGCTCACCTTGTTTGCATGCTCAAAATAATTTTGTTTTGCCCTCTTTATTTTAAATGCCACTTCTTGGGTTATCAAATTTAGTTTGTGTTTAATTATTCTCCTTTCCTCTTTTACTCTTTTATTTTGTGGGTATTTCTGAAGGTCTTCTTCTAATTTTTTAAACTCTTCCTGTAGTTTATTTTGCTGGGATCTTTTCTCTCTTCTTCTTCTTCTTCTTCTTCTTCTTCTTCTTCTTCTTCTTCTTCTTCTTCTTCTTCTTCTTCTTCTTCTTCTTCTTCTTCTTCTTCTTCTTCTTCTTCTTCTTCTTCTTCTTCTTCTTCTTCTTCTTCTTCTTCTTCTTCTTCTTCTTCTTCTTCTTCTTCTTCTTCTTCTTCTTCTTCTTCTTCTTTTTTTTTTTTGCCGTCACCCCTCTAATATAGGCTTTTAGCGTGTCCCAAAGGTTTTGAGCCGATGTATCTTCCTTTTCGTTTACTTCTAAGAAAATCTCTATCTCTTTCTCCAGGAATTGCTTATTTCTCCTTACGTATGTATTGATTTAACGTCCACCTTTTTTACCTTTTTTGTCCTTTCCAATGTATAATTATCGGATTATGGTCCGCCCACTCGTTTAGTCCTATTTCTATTTTTTCTAATTCTAATTGCAATTCTGTTGTCATCCAGGCCATATCAATCCTGGACCAAGATTGATGCGGATGAGAATAGTATGTATATTGCTTTTCTTCTTTGTAAATTTCTCTCCAGGTTTCTCTTAGGCCTAATTCTGATACCATATTAAAAAATTCTTTAGGTAGTATTTCCTTCTTTTTTTATTTTTCTTATTGCTATAATAGTCTCTTTTACTATCAACTATGGCATTATAATCGCCTATTATACATGCATTTTCTATTTCTTGTTCTATTATTTTATTGTGCAATTGTTTGAAATATTCTTGTTGACTTTTGTTGGGGGCATATACTACTACTAATAGAATTTGTTTATATTCCGTATCTAATTTTATCAACAAAATTCTGCCCTCATCATCTGCATACACTGATTCTGAATTTATTCTTTCCTTTACGTACACTGCAATTCCTCTTTTTTTCTGTTGTGATAGTGACACATGTAGTCTTCCTAATTTCTTGTTTTCTAATAATTTTTGGAAACCTTTTTTTATATGAACCTCTTGTAAACAAGTCACATCTGTATCTAATTTCTTTAGTTTTGTAAATACCGTATTTTTTGATGTATAAGACGCACCGGAGTATAAGACGCACCTTAATTTTGGGGGAGGAAAACAAGGAAAAAAGTATTTTACCTCTGCCTACCAGCATTTAAGGTGGCCCCTCCCTCCTCCTCCTCCTGCAAGCAAGAGGTGCAGGGACTACTCGCTTTCCCCCAAAGAGACCCCTTGCATGCTCTGGGGGGAGGGACAGAGCACAGCCTGAGGAACAAACCTCTTCGGGATGGTCTGGGGGGGGGAATCTGCCCTGCAGCTTCGGGGAACAAGGCGGTGCCACGATTTGCAGCTGGTCACCCCTCTGGCCGTGCTGACTTCACTCCCCAGCAATGTGAGCAGCCGCCGCCTAAGCCCTCTCTGCGCCCAGGAGCCAAGCCAAGCTGAATGGGAGCCCCTAAAGGGAAACCTTCCTCCTTTCCAGCCATCGCGGCCCGGATTCCTCAATGCAATTCTCAAGAGTCGCGCTTCAGGTGGCAGCCAGTTGCCCTGCAATGTGCAGCGGGGAACTGGGAAGTGCTTTGGATTCAGGGAGGAGATTGTAGCGCTGCCACCTGAAAGTGTTTTTCTGCACATTGCAGAGCCGCATGCCCCCGTCCTCCTTCTCAGCAGACTCAACTTCTCTTTCCTCCTGGCCAGATCTGCCGCATGAAACACGGTGCACTCTTTTTTTGTCTCTGCACACCCCATGTTTGGAATCGGGAAGGGGATTGCGGGTTCAGGCAGCAGACCGAAGTGTGACTCTTGAGAATTGCATTGTGGTTCCCGGCATCCCGATATAATCAGTTGACTCCATCACTGACTATTGGGGGCGAGTCTTTGGCCCCCTCGGAGAGGGCTCGCAATCTGGGACTCCTCCTGGATACGCAGCTGTCCTTGGAGGAACATCTGACGGCTGTAGCCAGGGGGACATTTTGTCAGGTTCGCCTGATCCGCCAGTTGCGGCCCTTTCTTGATCGGGATTCCCTGTGCACAGTCACTCATGCCCTCGTAACCTCTCGCCTGGACTACTGCAATGGGGCTCCCCTTGAAGGGCACCCGGAGGCTCCAACTGGTCCAGAATGCGGCCGTGTGGGTAGTTACGGGAACTGCATGGCGCTCCCATATAACACCTCTCCTGCGTGAGCTGCACTGGCTCCCAGTGGTCTTCTGGATGCGCTTCAAGGTGTTGGTTATCAACTTTAAAGTGCTCCATGGCATAGGACCTAGATATCTTTGAGATCGCCTGCTGCTACCGACAGCCTCCCATCGACCTGTGCGCTCCCACAGAGAGGGCCTCCTCGGGGTGCTATCAGCCAAACAGTGTAGGCTGGTGACCCCCAGAGGGAGGGCCTTCTCTGTGGGGGCACCTACCCTCTGGAATCAGCTGCCCCCAGAGATAAGGAGAATCCAAGACCTCGGTGCCTTCCGCTATGCCCTTAAAACTTTCTTTTTTCAGCAAGCGGAGCTGGCCTAACACTTTTTAAAATGTTTTTAATTGGTTTATCATTGCTTTTAATTATGGGGCTAAATCTTTTTAATTGTATTTTAATGTTTGTAGTTTATGTTTTTACTTTGGCTGTACACCGTCCTGAGTCCTCAGGGAGAAGGGCGGTATATAAATTTTAAATAAATAAATAAATAAATAAATAAATAAATAAATAAATAAATAAATAAATAAATAAATAAATAAATAAATCTCCTTGCAAGAGACACCAGGGGTATTTTTACATGCTGAACTGTAATCCTTACTCATCATAGGCATCTTAAACTTTAAACTTCACACTTAAGTAACCACCTGATGAGAGCATGAACACTGCATTTGCTATGCTAGAAGTAAATAATAATAAACAGTAATATTAAATAAACACTTTCCATACCCTTCAATTTTTATTCTCTTCAGACATATGCATTATAATGGTGGAATTTTCCTGGTTCAAACTGATCTTCAACTTGAACTCTTATTTCTAATTTGACCTCTTATTTATTTCTCCAGGTATTATTTTTGCTCATGGTGAGAACTGGAGAAAGATGCGGCAGTTTTCAATATCTGCATTACGGGATTATGGAATGGGCAAGAGGATTGTTGAAGACAAAATCAGTGAAGAGTGCAGTGTCTTGATAAAAACATATGAGACATATGAAGGTGAGTTGGTATTCCGTCCTACAGACTTACCAGTTATCTTTCAAGACAATCTATGTATAGAAGATCTAGAGGAACCTTTTCAGAAAAATATGCCAATAACTGTTATTTATGACAAATTGTTATACTAAATTAGCTATTGAAGTTTACAGAAGGATAAATTGTTTCCAATATGAGCACTGCTGTTGTGTATGAAAAGGTGTTAGGAATTGGACTTACTTGTTCCTCCAGGCTTTGAGTCAGTGATACTCATGTTATCCAATTAAGTAGAATAAATTAAAAACCTAAGCACTAATCCATCACCATTCACCAAAATTCTTGGCTCTACAAGTGATCCACTTTCCTGTGCCCTCTCATTCATTCCCACCCAGGCATTCCTGTCCTTTAACACTCTCCCTATCACAAGATCACATTGAGATTATTGCACAATTTCCTCTTAAACTCATGGCTCAGAATTCTATTATCTTCATTCCGTGGAACATAATATGCAACTATCACCAATATATAAATTCCTATTTTGATCCCACATGTCAGGCATACCAAATTTTGAAAGAATGAAGCATGAATATGGCTAATAAAAATTATCAACATCTTTCTCTGTATTTAATGAAATTATTATGGTAGCTTCCACCTTAATACTACATTTTTTTTTCTCATTAACAATTCATTGCTTGCAATGAATAAATATTAAATGATCATGATGCATTACACTTGCCAAAACCTTTCTGGAGTCAGCAATATTTCTATATGTTGTTTGGAAATACATTGGTCACATCATCATCATCTGCTTTAGGAATTAGGTAGTGGAAACTGCATTAAGAAAGAGTGACAAAATAGTGTCTGCAAAATCTTCTGAGAAATCTTCTTATTTATTCTTATTTATTTATTTGTCAAGCATATATAAGATAACAGAGTAAGAGTAGAAAGGAAAAGGAATTAAGACAGGGACGGTAGGCATGCTGGTGCACTTATGCACGCCCCTTACAGGCCTCTTAGGAATGGGGTGAGGTCAACAGTAGACACTTTAAGGTTAAAGTTTTGGGGGTTTGGGGAAGAAACTACAGAGTCAGGTAGTGCATTCCAGGTATTGACCACTCTGTTACTGAAGTCATATTTTTTGCAATCGACTTTGGAGTGGTTTACTTTGAGTTTGTATCTATTATTTGCTCATGTATTGTTGTGGTTGAAGCTGAAGTAGTCATTGATAGGTAGGACATTGTGGTAGATAATTTTATGTACTTAGGTCAGATTGATGTCGGCGTAGTTCTAAGTTGTCTAAACCCTAAATCTGAAGTCTGGTGGCATAAGGTATTTTATTGTGGGTAGAGGAATAGAGGACTCTTCTCGTAAAATATCAATTGTATTTATGTCCAATATGCAATGCGGGTTCCAGACAGATGAGCTATATTCGAGAATTGGTCTAGCAAATGTTTTGTATGCTCTAGTTAGTAGTACAATATTACCAGAGAAGAAGTTATACAAGATTAGGTTAAAAAACTCTTAATGCCTTTTTGGCAATGTTGTTACAGTGGGCTTTGGCACTTAGATTTTTAGAAATGAGTACTCCAAGGTCCTTGACAGAGTGAGGCTCATCTATAAGGTCATGTGCATCTAATTTGTATTTTATGTTTTGATTTTTTTTTCCAATGTGCAAGACAGAGCATTTGTTGGTTGAGATTTGAAGTTGCCACTTGTTAGACCAATCTGACACATAGTCAAGGTCTTTTTGAAGGGTAGTTGCATTGTCGATGGTGTTGAATAGTTTAACATCATCAGTGCAGAGAACACAGTTGCTTTTAATATGATCACAAAGGTCATTTATGTAAAGTATGAAGAGTGTTGGACCTAAAACACTGCCTTGGGGAACACCACTATTAACAGGTACAGGATTTGATAAAGCACTTCCTATTTTGACCACTTGTTGTCTATTTGACAGGAAGGCAGCTATCCATTTATGTAGGAGTCCAAAAATGCCATAGGATTTTAGTTTTAGAAGTAATTTGTCATGTACCTCTGAATCAAAAGCTTTACAGAAGTCTATGTAAACTGTGTCTATTGCTTTGCCCTGATCGAGATGTGTAGTCCATATGTTTTTGCAATGTAGTAGTTGTAGATTATAGGATAATTTTTTTCTGAAACCAAATTGTTTGTTAGAAAGTAGGTTGTTTGTCTCTAGGTGGAGGGTAATAGATTGGTTAATGATTGATTCCATGACTTTGCAGGTGATGCAACATAAAGAGATTGGTCTGTAATGTTCAACTAGGCTAGGGTCTCCCTTTTTGAAGATAGGGATGACCATGGCTTGTGACCATTGGTAGGGCAAGGAGCTGGTACTGAAATATTTTTCAAAAGTTATGCTTAGAGGTTCTGCAATTGCAGTGGAAAGCTTTTTTAAGAAGTATGCACATAGTTCATCAGGTCCAATAGATAGAGATGGTTTTAGATTGCCTACTGCCTTTTCAACATTGTCTTCTGTAAAATCAATATGTATAAAATCACCGTAATCCTTGTAATTGCCTGTATTATGACTGAGAAATATTGGGTATGTGTTGTTGCTGTTTACAAAGACTGAGCCAAAGAACATGTTAAAGAGATTGGCTTTAACGGTTTCGTCAATACAATCTTCGTCATTTGGTCCTTTTAGGGGCGGGATGGATCTTGAGTCTTTAAATTTGTTGTTTACAAAATTATAGAAGGCGCACATGGATTTTGTGCAAAGAAGGTTTTCCTCTTGCTTGATGTGATAATTGGTACATTCAGTCTTTATTTGTTGGCATAAGTTTTTGTAGCAGTTTTTGAAGTTAGTTACGTAGTTAGTTTTGTTTTTTCGCCAAATAGATTTTTTTATGGATTGTAGTTTCCTTATTGTTATTGGTAGTTTATTTTTTTCTGGTTTTGGGGGATATTAGTGGTACGTAAAGTTTAATGATTCTTTTGACCTATCAAAATACCTGTACATCCTTTATAAGTCTAGTATCTATTAGTTCTGTTGACAATTTCAGTTTATCTTTATGGTCCAGTACTCTCTGTTCCAGATTACATGACACTTCTGCAATGATGGGTGGGGAGTTAGGTCCTTAAAAAATCTTATGGTAAAATTTTGCAAGGAATACAATCATTTTGAATAACAGCAGAAACAAGTAGATAAAAGTTAGCTTCCTCTCTGATGGGAAGAGCTGGAACTCTGACTTCACTATAGAGAGGGAAACTGTGCTCTGAAGCCTTAGATTTATTTGTTAAAAGCTTTGGTGTTACTCATTTTATTTTTCATGCTGCCAGCAACGTGGTCTATCTTTAGCTGTTCTTCCATTTCCACACTGAATACAGGGACTAGAATGCTGCTGCTCCTTTTTACCTGTCATCAGAAATGTAACTGCTTCTCACTCCAAATGATGCATGTCTCTAGTACTACATTAATATGTAATTACTTCTGGTTTTAAAAGGATGGGTTACTTCTGGTTTTAAAAGAATTATTCTTTGTGTTACTGTCAGTAAATTTTAGCTCATATATCTATGTTCTCTTGCTAACTTCTATGCAGAGTACAAACTAGTTTCTATGATAAATGCTATATATAAGCCATCTAAAGGTGACAAAGAACAGGTTTAATTCTGGGATTTCTTTCACAATTCTTTCTTAATTTATTGCTCATGACCAGGAAAGCCATTTGATCCAGCAACAATTCTGAAAGCTGCAGCCGCCAATATCATAGTTTCTTTTTTACTTGGCAAGAGATTTGAATATGAAGATGCTACACTTCTAAGACTAATCGAGTTAATTGAAGAAAATTTACACCTTGCAGGAACCCCTTCTGTGTTGGTAATGTAATCTTTCATATGAAGAAAAATGTCATCCCTAGGGTTTATTAAGGTTTAATTTGTGAGATTTGGATCTTAATTAATTAATAAACTTGATTTATCATATCTTTAGCACCCACGTATTTCATATTTGATGATAATGATAGTGATTTTGGAGACTATGGAACAAACCTATTTGGATAAAAATGCTTTGAGATGTCTATCAGAAAATATATTCATAGTATTCAGCTCTGTTAATTTGCTACTTCTCTTATTATTCTATCCTGTTTCAGGTGTATAATGTGTTTCCCAAATTGGGATTCCTTTTGGATGCTCGTAAAAAAATAATGAATAACCGAAAAGAGTTCCATAAATTCATAGAGGCCACTTTCCTTGAAAATCTCAAAGAGTTTGATGAAAATAATCAGAGGACTTTTATTGATGCATTTCTTGTCCGGCAGAAAAAGGTAATAAAGCATTTTAAGTATGCAAGGAATCGTAACTGATGTTTTTTCTTTCACACGTTTTAAAAATATTCTGGCTGGTGCCAGAATTCATGCAGCTGGAGAAAATCATTGCTTTAGAAATGTCCAAGAAAACAATTTCCTGGAGCGAAAGCAAGGAGTGAATATATGAATATAATTTGGAATTTGTGTAATCTCATTCTCAGGTTCTGTGGGGATATAAACCTGAAACAAAAATAATAAAAATTAATAACCTCCACCAGCAAGGACACTATTAAATAGCCAAGGCTGATTAAAGCAGTGGTCATGATTAAAACTTTATGAAACAACATTCAAGAGGGGCTGTAGGCAGCTCCAGGGTATGAGCTTTCCCATTATTTGGCAGCTCCGCATCTTCCTGAATTCCCAAGAGATGGCTCTCAGCAAGTCTTCATGCAGCATCCTTGATGGCCAACAGATTCACTGTTCGTGTGAGGTCTTTATTCCTTGTGTACCTATTAAAGCTACTACAATGCTTGTATACCTCTAACTGGAAATTTTCCTTGTAAAAACCAACACTGGTTTTTTGTAGCAGTTGAGTGAAGCAGTCACCTGGGGGGTCTTGCTTAACAACCACTTTTCTCAATGTCCAATTGCGGTCATAAATTGAGGATTACCGATAGTACCACTTCTATTGTCTCTCATGGAGGGATAATTCTAGTAGGGAGATGATCAGGTGGGCCCTTGGGAAGCAACCCTTTTATCTTTATTTATAAACATAGGGATATTAATTATTGTGATATGGGTTGGGATATGTGGTCCAGAAACTGATCAGTGCAGGAGAAGAGGAAAGCCATTCTCCCTTTCTTAGACATTGCAGTCTAAGGAAATCCATGGAAAAGTGAAGGTGAGCTCTGAAACCGGAAGTCTTTCTTCTTCATGTGAGTTAAAATTAAATCACTCTTCATGAAAGAAAGCATTGAGCTAGCATGTATTGAGAAGAACTGGCAGAGAGAAATGGGGGATGTTAATCACAATTTTTCTCCAAACTCGTTCCTGGTTCTTCCATTGTCACCATTCACTGGAACATAACGTGCAACAGCCACTCGGCATATGCATTTCCCTACACAGCCACAGCAAAAGGATGTCCTGAGTTAATGTATCCTGACATTACATTTCTGTCGTAATTGATCCTAATTTGAATTCCCCTGCATACATTGACATATGCCAATCTACAAGATGAAGCTGTCTTCATTTAGATCAAGTCCCTTTTCCATTTTCTCTTAAATTCCAAAACAGGAAATATTTTTTTTTATTATTTCAATTCATTCAGTAATTCATGGTCTTTACCATATGTTTCTCATTATCACAAGTTACAGTCTTCTTTAGCCCTGGCCATAAACAGATGCGCCCATAAACCCTGGCATCAGCTTTTTGGTCAATCAAGACCTTGACATAATTCTTTGTGGCAGAATACGAGTCTTAGGGCTCCCTGCTAATCATAGAACACAAAACCCGCCACTTTGGGCACATTTTAGCCAGCATGCCACAAACACAACCAAAGGTCAGTTTTGCTGCATATAGGATCTAAAAATATAATCTCCAATTTAAAGTCTACTTTGCAAGCCACTCTACTACTGTTTGCAACTCAATACAGATAATCCTTGAACTATGACAGCAATTCAGCCTGGAATTTCTGTTACTGAGTGATGGTTATGAAGCACAACTGAATTGCTTAGTGATGGGAATCCCTGCATTTCCAACTGCCATTGTTAATTGAACTGAAGTGGTTGTTAGACAAGGACTTCTTCACAACTTCCAATGGCTTCCCACAACCAAAGCCAGGGAAGAAGCCAACAGGAAGTTGCCCATCCCAGGAGGCTTCCAAGCAGCCAGCAGGTTGGCAAATAGCTGCTGCCGTGTGTGGGATGACATGCAGGGGTATGTAAGTGGCTGGAGCAGCACAGTGCAAGCACAGAATGACTTGGAATTATTGCTTCCAGATGAGGAGAGACTGAGGGTGTGCTGCTTCCAGATGGGGAGAGACTGAGGGATTGTAGGTTGAACAAGAGTGCAAAGGAGGGGGAGTCAAGGCTTGGGAAGGAGTGTGGTGTTGTGCAGAGGGGCAAGTGGAGAGATTTACCCCAGAAAATCCATGCTGGCTTCCCATTATCTTTATGGAGGAAAAAGCAAGGAAGATTGCTGTTAAATTGGGGAGGCAGAAGCAAGGTAGTAACAACAGCTCTTTAATGTAGAGTGAGACTTCAGCAAAAGTTACAGGCAAACAGCCCTCCTTATATACCCGGCCAGCCGGGCAGCTGATCAATCACATGGAGCACATTCCATGTTACCATTAACAATGGCATTTTTGCTGCTCAGTTTGCTTGCTGCATGGCTCCATGGTAACGGCAACGCCTACCCCACTGCGGCCTGATGTCATACAAGTTACTTAATTTTAATTAATTTAATTTTTAATTTTTTTGATTTATATGTCGCCCTTCTCCAGAGACTCAGGGCGGCTTACAGTGCGTTAAGCAATAGCCTTCATACTTTTGTATATTTATACAAAGTCAGCTTATTGCCCCCACAAACTGGGTCCTCAATTTACCTACCTTAGAAAGGATGGAAGGCTGAGTCAACCTTGAGCCTGGTGAGATTCGAACTTACAGTAATTGCAGACAGCTGGTGTTAATCACAATGCTATCAGTCTGCTGAGCCACCAGGCCCAATTCAGTCCAAGTATCTGTGGAGGAGTCATAACATTCAACACTGTCCAGAAACGTTTGTCCATCATAGCCACCTGCAGGAAAAGTGACCCATTGTTGTTTAAATCTCTCGCCAAAACTACATACATAACACCCTTCCCCTCCCAGAAGGCATTTAGTCTATACATTTGCATACAAAATTGTGCAGGTGACCAGGGCGTGTCCGAGCCCTAGTTGACCTGTGCAGTTCAGTCTGAGGCATGGTGTCGAGCCGGTCAGAGGGATTTTTTGTTTCTCCCGGCTCCGCCAATGGAACCTCCTGGATTTTGTCAGGGGTGTTGGAGTCTTCGGCTGGGAGTGGCATCTCGCTGGGGCGGTGCTGGAACCTGGAGTCCACAGCTAAGTCTTCCAACCTTCTCGGGCTTGAGTTAGCTGTTGTAGGAAAACTCTGGAAGTCAGGGCCTGGTATTTCAGAGTACATTTCTGGCTGTCCGGCCAACCTCTTTCTAAGTTGATTGATGTGACTACACCAGATCCTTCCATCTCCCACATCCACTGTGTATGATTTGGGCCCCTTCATGTCATAAACCCATCCAGAGAGTAGTTGGGGTGCAATCGGTCCAAGTTACACCTGAGCTTTCTACACCCATTAGGAGTTCGGCTGGGCTGTGCCCCGTGGTTATACAAGGGGTGGCGTGTTGGACTGCTAAGAATTTATCTATTCGGGCTTGCCAGTCTCCCGCGTCCAGTCGTGCCAGTGCCTCTTTGGCCGTTCTTACAAATCTCTCAGCCAATCCATTACTGGCCGGATGAAACGGGGCCAAGAGTGTGTACCGGATGCCTAATTCTGCCAAGTAGAGTGAGACTTCAGCAAAAGTTACAGGCAAACAGCCCTCCTTATATACCCGGCCAGCCGGGCAGCTGACCAATCACAAGTGACCCATTGTTGTTTAAATCTCCCGCCAAAACTACATACATAACAATTGCAAAAGGCAAGCACATAATCACAGCCACTGAACTATAGTAAGTGTTAGATCATGTTTGCCAAGCACCCAAAGCAGGATCATGTAATTGTGGGACTGCTCAGATGGTTGGAACTAAAAGAATTGGTTACAACTACCAATTGTTTACTATCATTTTAACTTGAAATGCTCCTGGAATGAATGGTCATAAGTTAAAGACTATGTCTAGGAGGTTCATACGTGACATATTCAGGATGCTTATATTTTGCTTTAGTTTGTTTAATAAGGCTTTATATAAGCAGAAATCTCGAGTCTAGATTTAATCATGCTCATAATCACTGTAACTATATTGATAGCCTTTCCCCCCATTATAAATAATAACCCTAAAATTTATTACAGATAAGCAACACACTGTCCTCCAGTTTTTGTGGAGAACAACTCTCACAATCTCCTGACACTGGAAATTTGGAGGCCACTGTAACATCTGTCCATGTATGTAGATTATAGACATACATTAAATGTCCTTGATATCTTTTCTTTATACTCTTCAGGAGAATAAGAAGTCAATAGATAGCTATTTCCATAATGATAACCTTAAAGGTCTTGTGGATAACCTATTTGTTGCTGGCATGGATACTACTTCAAACACTTTGTATTGGGCCTTACTCCTAATGATGAAGTATCCAGAAATTCAGAGTAAGCAATTTTTATTTGATTGATTTTCAATAAAAGTATATAATTACCTGCCAAAATAACATGGGGATGGGTTAGGGTTAGGGTTGGGGGCCATTCATGGGGCCATGTGCATGTGCAAGGGGCGGGGTGCACAGGGGCAGGATGTGTGCGTATGCATGGGGGGCAGGGGGAACATGTGCACATGCGTGTGGGGGCAGGCATGTGGGAACGGGGTGCATGTGGACATTGCATTTTGGTGGTTCAGGCGCATACCCGTGAGCTTTCGGCACTCCATCCGGAAAAGGTTACCCATCACTGGATTATAAAATCTCACCATATGAAGGGTTTATACATGTACTTTCAGAGATTTCTGAAAGATGTACCAGTCACAGAATGTGTGTTATGCACCTATCACCTATCATTACTGCTGAATATGAGCTAAAACTGAAGAGTTTTCTGCTAAGAATGATACATTCCAAGCACAATACTCCCTTAATTGATTTCTTATATCTCACTAATATTTCATAATGTCTATACATTAAAATAAATAAATAAATAAAATATAATAAATAATAAATAAAATAAAATATAAATAATCTGTGATTAATCAACCTTTTTCTACATGGGCATAATCATAGAATAATAAATATGCTGAATAAAAGGGGGAAAAGTACCAAGAGAAAAATTACAAGCATAGATCACAAATGATTATCTTCAGATTTGTACTATAAATTTACTTTGGAATTTTTGCATAAATTCCCATTTAAAGCAAAATTTAAATTATGGAATCATCTTGATGTGATCCTATTCTCCCAGGGAAAGTCCAAGAAGAAATTGCAAAAGAGGTTGGGGTTCGTCAGCCAAGGACAGAAGACCGATTCAAAATGCCTTACACCAATGCAGTAATTCATGAAATTCAAAGGTTTGCTGATATTGTTCCAATCAATTTGCCCCATGCAACCACCAAGGACATAACTTTCAAAGGCTTCTTCATTCCCAAGGTGATTGCTGTGAAATAATCCCATTGTTAATGTTCCAATCTTACTTTGTACAGTATAAACAATTTATGACCATAATTGAGCCTACAATTTTAATCATAAGTCATGATGGACATAAAGTGCATCACCATGTGACCATGCCCAATTTTATTACCTTTTTTGTGGCACTCATTAAGCAAACATTGGGGTCATAAAATGAATGCTGTGGTCATTAAGTGGACCCAGTATTTACTGTAGCACTTTTTGGCCAGAAACTGAAAGTAAATGCCTGTTTCTAGCAAAAACATAAATTGTAGCCATATGAACATGGGAGGCTTTAAACAACCATAAATGTGGTCTGGTTGCCAAGTACCCAAAATATGACTACATGACCATACTGGGTAAGAAGCCCAGGACATTGGAACTTCTAGTTATTGTTTTTCAGGGTCTGTTGTAAGTGTAACCAGTTGCTAAGTGACCGGTTGTAAATTGAGGATTCACTGTAAGTAAAATGCAGTTTTAAATCCCGTTGAACCCTGAATGTAGCTGTTTGCTTCTTTTTTCCTTAAAGTTTTTTGAATAGTATGTTTCTCCATGTATAGTATTTATCATACTATTAATACTATAGTATATTTAAATATATATTACTACAGCACCATGTTTTCCCAAAAATAAGACCAGGTCTTTTGCCTCTCCCCCCCCCCCCCAAATGGCTAGGGGTTTTTTTCGGGGGTGTCTTAATTTTTTTAAATATTTTTTTATAAAAAGTTTTTTATTTTTCAATTAAAAAAATAAAGATTCCATCTTTCCTTATGCAGTGCGTCGTCTGGGTACAAATATCTCTGTGCAACATCATTCCTCATTTGCCACAGCTTTCACATTCACATTCACATTATTTCTCTAAACTTAATATTATGATATATTAAACAATTGAACATTGTAAAACTCTCCATTTTCTTCTTAATATCTTCTAGTAATAATACCATATTAACATTAAACATCATTATTCACATCATAGATATTGTTCTGTCCCCGTCTCACACACGCACATCAGCAGTCAACCAAGAGTTAAAATAAACCAGCAGATAAGAATTTCTTTTGATAACAGAATTGGCAGCAACTCAGTGGCTGCTTGCCAAAAGTTTTTACTTACAAAGGGAGGTTTATCTCCCCGACCGAAACATCAAAGTAAATCCTCAAAAGCCAACGAATAGTCAAGTCCAGTCCAAAAATCAATCCAAGCAGAGCATATAACAAAGTTCCAGAAATGCAGAACGACTTGCTAGCTTTCAGTTTTGTCCGTCACAAAGCCTGAATGGCCACCACACCCCCTTTTATCCCCTGTGGGGTGTGGTCCAGTGACTCAGCTTAATCTCTGGCACGCCTCCTTCTCTGCTGCGCATGCTTGTCTTTCCGACGCTGAAAATATCCACGTAACTTATTTTTCCCATAGCATAATAATGCATGCCACCCCAGTTGTAAATCGTGTCCTTCCAAAGTCAATAACCTTATATTCCTCAATACAATCCATATTAGTACTGCAGCCTGATAGTACAATTCCCAGTTAGGTAATCCAAAGCCTCCTCTACTTCTTATATTTTGTATCATTTTCAAACCAATTCTTGCTTTTTTCCCTTGCCAAATATACTTATGTATTATTTTATTAAGTTCCACAAAATATTTATTGTCTGGAATAAATACAATAATCTTGGCAATATATTCAGTTTGATTGTTGCTACTCTTCCTACCAGAGATAATTGCAGATTCTTCCACTTCCACAAAACAATTGCTAGCAACCTGCCTTCCATTGAGGACCTGTATACTGCAGGAGTCAAAAAGTGGGCTGTGAAAATATTTACAGACCCCTCACATCCTGAACATAAACTGTTTCAACTCCTGCCCTCAAAACATTGCACACCAGAACAACTAGACACAAGAACAGTTTTTTTCCTGAATGCAATCACTCTGCTAAACAAATAATTCCCTCAACACTGTCAAACTATCTCCTATCCTATCCCCTTCTCTCCCTCAGGCTTGCCCCACAGACACCTCCCCTATCCCCTTCTGTCCCTCAAGCTTGCCCCACAGAAGCCTCCTCTATCCTATCTGTTGTAGAGGTTAATAAAATCAATGAACCGTGAACCTTTGTCTCTATGAATTTCTACTTTAACAAATGAGCCTTTAAATCATTTAACAGTAAATGTTTTTATTTACATAATAAAAACATAACAATATCTATACAATTAATAAACAGCACTTAGTTGCTATGATTAATTATCCTGTCAGCTATATATCTATATGTATATCTATTCTCTCTAAGCTATGTTATCTATGACTATTCTTCCTCAGAAGAAATATTATTATAAACCACCAGAACTGCTCTTCTAACAGACTTCCAAACTGCCCACAGTTGTTTAACAGAAGATCCTAGAAGAGTTAAGACCTAAGACCTAAGCCAAATAGCTAAGATGAGTGAAGATCGAAGAGCAAAGAGTTTCTGACAAGAATCTCCTTTTATACTGCTAACTATGACAGTTAGGGTAGGATCCTGGAGATTCAAACATATTAGCTGCCCTCTGATTGGCTTATGTATCTGTCCATTCCAAAAGCCATTAATAGGCACAGCTATAGAGAAATAAATTTTCTCTAACAATCCCCTTCTCTGTGTCTATTGATACTAATTATATATCATACACAAATGCATTCTTTACATCACCAAACTTATTTTACCCAATAGATATTGGTGTTGTTCCCGGGGCAATGGTTTAGTTAGTATGTCTGCTATCTGTTCTTTAGTCTCACAAAATTTGATTTCAATAAAACCTAATTTGCATAGCTGTCTCACATGCTTGTATTTAATATCAATATGGCATGACCTTTGCCCCACAGCATCAGCCTTTGATATGTTGATTGCTGCCATATTATCTTCGTGAATTCTTACTGGATACACAGGTTCTTCCCATAAATTCATTAAAAGATCATCAAACCATACTACATTGTTTGAAGCCTTGGATAGACATACATATTCTGCCTCAGCAGTAGAAGTGGCAATCAACTTCTGTTTCCCTGAATACCAGTGGACTGGGCTTCCATTCAGTAATATTACATACCCCGAAGTAGTCTTTCTGGACTTGATGTCCCCTGCCCAGTCTGCATCTGTATAACAATATAATTTAGGTTTTTCTGATACATAAGGTTCTAAAATAAGTGAGTAATTTACAGTACTCTTCAGATACCTGAGGACTCTTTTTATCCCATTCCAGTGAAATTGAGTAGGGTTTTCAGAATGCCTGGACAATACATTTACAGCTAGACTAATGTCTGGTCTTGTCCATCCTGCAATGTACAATAGTGATCCTATTACAGATTTGTAGAATGTCTTCTGATCAAATTCGGCACTTTCAGTATACATATTTTTAAGAAAGTCCGTTTGCATGGGAGTGTCACAGGGCTTGGCCTCTGCCATGTTGCATCTTTCAATTAATTCTAATGTTTTATCCCGCTGAGAAAGCTTAAACCCCTTCTCAGTCTTAACGAATTGATCCCTCCAAAATTTGTCAATTTGGCCTAGAGGCTTTAGGGCAAAATTCTGGCCTAATTCTTCAGAGAATATCTTATATCTGCTCTCTGATTTACAAATGTACAAAATGTCGTCTACATAAACCAAAACGATTTATTTGGTGCCCTGGTTACTTCTGATAAATACACATTCATCACCTGATGATGTAGAAAAACCCATCTGCTTTAAACATTTGGTAAGACATTCATACCACCTTCTGCCTGAGACCATAGAGACTTTTATTTAATAGCCAAACATCACCTTCCTTATGATCTATACCCTGAGGAGCCTTGACATATATCTCTTTGTCTAATTCAGCATGTAAATACGCAGTTTGTATATCAAACCGGTATACACTCTCCCCTTTTATGGCAGCTATGGTGAGCGCAGTTTTAATGCTCTCAGGTCTTACTGTAGGTGAGAAGGTATCAACATAGTCATCAGGGAATCTCTGTGAGAAGCCCTGTGCAACCAACCTTGCCTTATAAATAAATTCACCTTTTTCAACTGGCTTCTTCTTGAAGATCCATCTAGTGCCAATTACCTTTTTACCTTTTGGTAATTTTGTATTTGTGTATACATCTAACTTCTTTAGACTTTTCAATTCTGTATCCATTGCAGTACGCCAATTCTCTTGTTCTTTTTTAGGTAGCTTTAACACATCCTCATATATTTGAGGTGATATATCTATTTGATTAATAGAGGTAACATAATCTTTGTATCTCTTGGGCTTCTTTCCCCTATTGGATCGAATTGGCCTTTTAATTTCTTCTTCATCTGTATCAGAACTATCTGATGAGCTGTCCTCCTCATCACTGATTTTCTGGATTTTTAAATTGTGTTGCCCCTTTTTCTTTTCTTTTTTTTCCCCCAATTTTTTTTTATTTTTCAAAACACAAAACATAAAATACATCTTTTTAGAGAAGGTGCTTGTTCCATCATATAATAAATACAATTATTAAGATACCCACAATCAATTTTGTTCCCATTTTTATCCAATTACATCTTTTTTAAAAAAAAGAAAAGAAAAAGAAAAAAATATCTTATTCTAAACATTTATCATTCAATTATTTTGCCCAACATTCTAGACTATAAATACCATTCTAAATCTCTATCATTTTAACAATCAATATTTCATATACATTTCTCAATTTAAGACCCATTACACCAAATCTATATTTCACCTGTTCTTGATCACAACTAATATCCAAATCTTATCAAAAATTTATTTCCCTTTTCTCTTAGAATTTTTACAAAATCAATCAACATTTTGCTCTGTAGTTTATTACTTCCAAAGTATTTTATTTTGATTTAGTTACTCCATAGTTATTCTCTTATACTATTAAAATTATTTTGGCTAATTCATAGTTTATATAACTCCAATCTGATTATTTAACTGGTTCTCAGTTATATTATTATTCTCCTGTAAAGTTTCTTCCACTTCCTCCTAATTTTATTTTTTAGC